AGCCTGAGTCTGTGCAGTAGTGATTCATTTGGAGCCTGAGTCTGCACAGTAGTGTTCATGAGATGGAGCCGCGGCATTAGTGATTCATTTGGACCTTAAGTCTGTGCAGTATTGATTCCCAATTGCTGGGTTTGTCCCTATTTTACCCAGCACTGGGTTGTATTTAACCCAGCATTTTTTAGAGTGTGGTAACCAGACAGTTGACGGTAGCCATTGACTTCCATAGTATGGAAATAAATGCTATGGAAGTCATGGCTACCATCAACAGCTTGGTAAATTATAACAGAATTTTCATTTTTGTGCGACGAATGGCTATTAGATTCTTTGTTTGGATTCATGCTTGAGTAAGATTTTTGTTTTGTGGTGGAATGTGACTGATTATTCTAGCGTGTGCTCCAGGCAGTTTGTGTTGTGCTTTGCTGGTTGTTTTAAGTATTTTTTTTTTAGATCTATTTGCCAGCTTTATAAATATCCTCAGATTGTGGTGCCCATATTGAAACTGTTTCTGTGTGACATACTTGAATCTTTACCACAGTCTCCAAATGTCCCATATCAGTATCAGTGTAATGGATTCACTTCACAATCCTCTCTGTTGGGTTTTGATAAATGGTATACACGTTTAAGAGAGATTGCTTTTAAATGCAAACTATGTGAAAATGGTGTAATGTTTAATATTTCTTATTTATGAGTATTTATCTGGAACCAATTTATTTGTACTTATTAATTTATTTTGAGTTTGCCCTTTTGAATTAATGGTCTAGTGTGGGCATATATTTGACTTGAATTGTTTGGTATTTTGAATTCTGAAAGGTGTTAAGATGAATAAATGTCTCAAGAATAAAATGACTCAGTTTACAGTGTTTGTCTCAACTAAACAAGCCACATCAAACTGTAACCGATTATGACAACATCATCCAGCAAACAGCATCCTCTAGTGGTGTGTAATGTAGGATTGAAGAATCCTTACCTGAATGCATGTCTTTGTGGATTGATAGATGAAGTAAAAGAAACCTCACACAGCTGGTTCTGGCACACAGCATGGACATGTACAATGAATCATCCATCCATACACAGAAATGAGCAAATATGTCACTCTGACATATTTCAGCTCAAACAGTAGAAGAGCATATAGTGTTATTAACACCAAGGTCATGAGTTTGATTACCAGGAAAAGCAAGAACTGATAATATGTGTATCTTGAATGCAGTTGCTTTTGATAAAATGCATGCAAGTCTGCTTGTTTAAAAATGTTAGTTTTTTATTATTTAATAATACTGCCACTTAATGTGTTTTTATTTATATAATTCACTGATTATTGAGACAAGGGACAAAACATGTTTAAAAATGTTAGTTTTTTATTATTTAATAATACATTATTATAAACGGATATATTTGTAGATAAAAGTCTCTGCTAATTAACCATGTAAGGGAACGGGGTTTTCTGAATTTTTTCTATAACTTAATTTTACCATTTTAAAACAATAAATTGAAAATGGGAAAAAATATATTTCTTTCAATATTAACAGCAATCTTCATCTGACAGGGTTAAAAACTGATGGAGTTGACAAAAATGTACGGTGTTGACAAAGGTCCAGCTGAGGTTACAACAACTGATCGACAAGACAACAAATTAAGACAACTAACTAATTTTTCAACTGTTATTTAATTTAATACAAAAATCCTTGTAATCTGAGTCTCCAGTAGCTTAAAAAATACACGAAGCTTATGTCAGGTTCAGTGTAATGGTAAACATTATTATGTGCTGCCATGTAGCAGCAACAGAAATGTTCCTAATATGAATCCAAAGGATCTGTAGACTGTCTTTAAAACCCATCAGTTACGAAATTTTATTTGTGACTGACTTGCATGGCTAAAGCAGTTGGCAACTGGCATGTTCACTCTCTATTAAAGGGTTAGTTCACCCCCAAAATGAAAATTAGGCTGCGTTTCACTCACCCCCAAGGCATCCTAGGTGTATATGACTTGCTTCTTTATTAAATTATATTATATAATTAGTTATATTAAAAATTGTTGTTGATCTTTCAAGCTGTTTCATGGCACTCAGCGAGTGTTGCATTGCTTCAGTCCAAAAAAAGTGTCTCACACGGCTCTGGGGGCTGAACAAAGGCCTTCTGTAACGAATCGATGCGTTTTTGTAAGAAAAATATCCATATTCAAAACGTAATAATCACTTGAAACTGTGAGATCCACAATGAGCAGGAAATAGGAAAGGATTCCTCAGAGTTAAAGATGCCTACATTACCTGATTTATTCAGAAAATCCTGACGGGGTTGATGCAAAGTAATGACACAACTTGGATAGGCCTATGTATTTTTTTAATGGGAAATATAAATAAAGTTTTATGTATTGTTTGATATATTACAGATCTCTGCCTTTCAATATAAATGTATGTTTTTTAGAAAAGGAAAATAAGGGACAATCGTGGTTTTTCATAGAAAAACTAAGGAACAGAATAAAGGATATACACACAGGCCTATTATATATATATATATATATATATATATATATATATATATATACATATACATTCACACACACACACACACACACACAGGTATATCTTTTAGATTTGTAATGTTTATTTTAAATGGAGTCTCTTATGCTCATCAATGCTGTATTTATTTGATCAAAAATACAGAAAAAAACTGTAATATTGTTAAATATATCACTCCAGTTCACGTGTTTTCCATCACTTTTTGACATTTTCTCCTCAAACGCTTCTGTGACTGTCCAAAGCATATGTATAGCTAGAGATGCATATTAGCTGCTGTTTAATACGTAAGCTGTCCGCCATATTGGAATGTCAAAGCCGGTCTGTGAACACTCAAGAGCAATGCCGGCATCTGCACTGCAACTGTAGTTATATGCATTAATATCTATATCTTCAGTAGACTTCAGAAGATGCTTTTGCTAAACTAACACAATGACAAGATGAAGCCATTAGCTAACAAGGCATTTAAAAGGTACTTTAGTTTAAAAACTTGTAACTGAGTTAATACATATTAAAAACACAAACCAAACATGAAGGTTTATCCAGTTTCTTCAAGAATTTAAATTTAGGCGTTTTTTATAACCAGGTGCTGCACAAAGTTGTTGCATCTTGAAATTCATTGATTTTTATTCTGAGTGACGTCATATAGACCGTTCCAAGATGGCGGACACGTCGACGTGTCTGGAGCGGTCGAATGTGGATTCTACCTATTCATATCTATGGTCCACAGCACATGAATATGAGCCACGCGATTGGCTGTCTGTTGCTAAGCATCTAGCCATAACGTTGCAACATCACATCGTTTCACACTATACACGTCTGACACATCAAAATGCGGCTAAACCTGCTCCGGAGCAGGCTTTCATAAACCAGAGTAAAAAGCGGTGATAACCCCAATTCTAAACTACAGGTGTTAAACGTACCTTTACCCAGGGTTAAAAACATGGTTTAGAACTACGATAACCCGGGGTTAAGCACAGAGTGAAAAGACCTTTAACCTCTCATCCACTAGGAGAGGGGGAATAATTTACTAGTCTTTTACAATAAAAACTAAATCATACATACATTTTTTCCATTTATTATTATTATATATAAAAATTAGTTGTGTTTTAACATACACAAGATCATCTGTAATTGCACTATAAATTGGTTGAGAACAGTCATACCAGCTTACTGGACTCTATAGAAGAGTTTATATAAGTTATAGAGACTATACATAGCTGCAGAGATTATAAACAACCTTTAAGAAGTCTCAGAGAAGAATACTTTGGCATATAGATTAACAGTCATTTGAGAAGACATCTAAATATCACAATATATCTGGATAACATAGTGTTTGGTAGTGAATGCTATGAGTCTACATATCATTTTCTTATACATATAAGAAAACAGTTGACACACAAGAAGGCTGGAGTTTCATGAATCACCTCTCTCAACTTTCACTTGGTCTAAAAGGAAAGAAAGCAACTGTGATTACTTAAGTATTCACAGACATTACAAAGTCATAGTATAAAATATAAGTATAAAGACTAGCATTTAACCAAAAAGACTAGTACCTAGATTAATCACATAGGATAAACTTTGGTTCTAAAGTTGGTTCAAAATAAAAAGAAAAAAAAGAAATAATTAATAAAAAAAGGACTATTCACCATTACAGCTTTACAAATTGTGTAACTGAATCAGAAACTATGGTACTAAAACTACTGACCATAAGTTGTTAATTATTAATATGAAACATATATTTGAGGTTTATTGCAAAATATAAGAAATATATACAAATCTAAGTTGATTGAACAACTAGGGACACATAATTTATTGGTAACATATTGGCTGATATCGGACATTTTTTTATTGAACAGTATCGGATGATATTGGAAATATATATTGGCTTGAGTAGTCTCAGATTTCATATTGGCCCCATAACATATATAGGCAATATATTTTCCAGAAATATTTATATATCCATGCATTCTTATTTACAAGTCCTCATGGGATTAGACGGCTGAAATTTCTGTTTCCATGGTAACAGCGACTTTTCTGATCGGTGGATGTCTCTTCAGGATTATAGTAGTGTAGTTCTTCACTGGGAATTTACCAATTAAACACAAATGTTGTTTCAAACTAAGTTGAAATCAAATTGATTGTGTTGGTATACAGAATCTTATACCTTTTCTTAAAGGGTTAGTTCAACCAAAAATGAAAATTAGCTTGTGTTTTACTCACCCTCAAAGCATCCTAGGTTTATGTGACTTTCTTCTTTCAGACGAATCCAATCGAAGTTATTTTAAAAATGGCCCTGGCCCCTCCAAGCCTTACAATGGGGGTAAGCGGGTGTTTGGTTGTCAACAGTTCAGAAGACGTGAAATAAAGTGCGTGCATCCGTAATAAAACGTCCCTCACACGGCTCCGGGGGGTGAATAAAGGCCTCCTGTAGCGAATCCATTCATTTTTGTAAGATAAATATTCATATTTCAAACGTAATAAACACTTTTCTCTCACTTCCGGTATTCTGTCATATGCGGAAGGCGTTCCGGCGGATGACGTAAGACGTTGACGTTGCGTGATAAGTGATGAGCGCGGAGAGACAAAACGCAAACGCCGGGTCACGAATTAGAAGCACAAAACGATGATTTGTAAAGAAAAATGTCGGAGGATTTTGATATAAGCCAAGAGGAGACTGGTTTTCCTTTGCTAAAGTAAGAAAACTTTGTTTCCTTTGCTCCTGCATTTCTCAGAGGTGCGTGCGCAACGCATACGTCTTACGTCATCCGTCTGCATGTCTTCCGCATACCACAGTCAGCGGAAGTGAGAAAAAAGTATTACGTTTGAAATATGGATATTTGTCTTACAAAAAACGAATGGATTCACTACAGGAGGCCTTTATTCACCCCCCGGAGCCATGTGAGGGACATTTTATTACGTATGCGCGCACTTTATTTCACGTCTTCTGAACTGTTGACAACCGAACAACCACTTACCCCCATTGTTAAGGCTTGGAGGGGCCAGGACAATTTCATTTTTGGGTGAACTAACCCTTTAACCTCTGATCTTATGGTATATCCGTCAGGTTGATACATTATCTCTAGAAATCTATTTATCGATGGAAAATTTTTTACTTCCACAAATGTTGCACTAAAATGGCATCCTGCAGACCTTGTTTACCTTGTTCATCTTTTGAGAGTTAACAACTGCGGCCTGTCAATAAAGAGAAAATTACACTCAAGACACTCAGTTTCTGGACCACAGAGCATAAGCTTTATTTGGACACTGATGCCGTTACTTCCTTAAATCCACGGAGATCTTACCTCTGACATGACGGGTAGATTCATATGTGGATGTAGCCACATGGTCCTGCGGGCTTTGGCTCCCATCCTCTGGTTCAGTTTCCGTAGTAACCTCTTCACCTTCCTGTCCCTTGGATCAGCGCACTTCACCGCCTTTTTGGTGTACAATCTGTCGTGATTCAAACAAGCGAGAACGTGAGCGCCAAGATCTCAAGAGCTCCCCCAAAACCTCTCTCTTTACATAAGGCAAATCCTAAATCTCTTAATCTGCTACGCTTCAAGTCAGTGCAGTCTAAATTGGCCTCTGTGAAGAAACAGTTTGGGCATTGTCCACCCAGCCTGAGTGCATTCTTTTGCTCTACTTGCCTGACAATTACCGCTCTCAGTAATAAAAATCTGACCTGCTTAGACAGCAATGCCTGTGAGCTTAAATAGGGCATATTTTCCATGTCTGTGATTGCTCCAGGATGCCTGGAATACTTGCATGATGGCTCTTATGCTGCAATCCGGCCCCTCCGTCTGCCTCTCATACCTCAGGACGTCTTTGGTCCGGACTTTGCCGTGAGAGTACTGCATGCAGCACTGAACATCTCGCTGCATTTGCACACCCTTCCCTGGCATAGACAGAAATAAAAAAACTGGCAACAGAATTCAGCACAGAATCACACCTGGAACCCATCATTAAGTATCATAAACTGGCATGCTCAACAGTTTGCAGAAGAAATCATGTGTCTTAATCAAATTTGGACTCCTTTTTTGTCCTTTCTGGAGCTTCCTGTGCCTCCCATCATGTTTTAACACACCTCATTTCTTCAGACATGCGTGAAACTCCAGCATCCGAAGCTCCTGAACCGGTCTGGCTATCATAGCATTATGCCTCTTTCCCCCCCGCCGAGATCTGGTCCCAACCGCCCCGTTCCAACATTACAATCAGATGCTAGGGAGAGTTTCACCTTACCTTCCAGGCAGCCGAAGAGGACAGCCCAGAGGAAGAGGATGGAGACAGTCTGCAGGAACATGGTGGAACCTCAGAGGGATTTTTTCCTCCGTGCTGTCTGCTGTCTTCTTGTGCTGTTTTTATTTCTCTCCTCTCTCCCTCCCTTCCCCTATTTTCTCTCTCACACGCTAACACACCCACATCTCCCTCACTCCCCCCCGTGTGCTGTTTTCACAGTCGTAGCATCTCCCCTCACTGTTGAGAAATGCACAACTCTCTTCAATTAACACGTTGAGCTGTGCAAGTGCTGGTGCGATGTGTGGCATAATCGCTGCAATTTTGAGCCCATCATCCCTGTTTGCTTGAGAATTTACAACTGCAAAGCTCTCAATAATAAATCCATATAGAATTCTTCCAACATTAGAAGAAAGAAGATTAAAAACAGCATTCTACAATGATATATGTGTCTGAGGTCGAATGCTGAAGGGAAGGAAACACCTTACATTAAAATGCCCAACTGTTGGCAAACTTATGATTTATTGCAGTTGAAAATGTTGGAGCAGGAAAAAATACAGTACTGAGGTCTGTTTTGCAGGGAGGAGTGTGAGAAAACATTAGAATGAACAAAACATCAGGAATCAATAGGGATACTTATATGCAGACATTTAGAGCCCGTCCTAATGTCGAGTTCTTGAGTCATGTGGAGAAACTGTTGGGACTTTATGGTTTCGGCATACCTGAGATCATTAGATCGAAAATATGCCATCTGCGTGTCCAAGGTGGGTGTGTAAGGCATGCAAGAATTCAGCTGCAGAAACATACCTTGTCCATGACCTTACTTGATTCCATGGGCCAATATCTCATCTTGCCCCCATATCTCGTTGACAATTAAGGCATCACATTGAATGAAACATTTCAGCTGCTGCTCAAAGAAAACGCTGATCATTTAATGAACCAAGAGCAAGTTCACGGGCATTTGACAAATGCACACAACTTTTACATTAAACAAACAGCATCATCTGCTTGAGTATTTGGGGGAAGTTTGTTCCATTTACTTGAGTACTCCTAGTGGGAAAAAATTGAGGATAGTGACTGAGAGGTGAAAAGTTTGAACCATTGCCCATGAGCCAGAAACCTAATCCAGATGAGCTGTCCTTGTCAGATAACATGTTTGTTAAGTGAAAACACCTGCATCATCTTAGGTTATGGATTCATAATATTCAGATTGTGTAAATTCAACATATGTCAAACTACACTGCCTGGCCAAAAAAAGTCGCCATTTGGATTTAATTAAGCAACTAGTGAAGAGTCTAGGATTGGATAATTATTGCAGTGATTAATATGTTTCTGGCATTCTTAACCCTAACTGATGCAGTGCGTAGCTTTTTATTTCTTAAGTAACCATGTTGAAAGACGTATCCATGTCCATACTCCAGGATGACAATGTCAAGATTCATTGGGCCCAAATTGTGAAACAATGGTTTAAGGAGCGTGAGAAGTCCTGAGCTTAACCTGTTTGAAAGTTGTTTTTTTGATAGGACTCTCCTGTTGTCAATACTAGATCTCTGCCAAAAACTCATGCCAACTCTTGATGGAAATAAAAGTTGTAATTTTGCATAAGTTTGTCAAAACAATGCAATGAAAGCACAACGTTATCAAATCTAAAGGCGCTCCAACAAAATATTAAGAGTGTGCAACATTTTTTTTTTTGGATAGGCAGTATAAAGTAAACTCCAGCACATTCCAAGACTTTCAATAGGGTTAAGGTCAGGACTCTGTGATGGCCACAGTTTGAGCCTGATGAATCTTGGCATTGTCATCCTGGAATATGGACACGGGTACCTCTTTCAGCATGGTTGTTTAAGAAATGAAAAGCTACACACTGCATCAGTTAGGGTTAAAAGAATTGTTGCAAAACATGCTGGAAACATATTAATCACTGCAATAATGATTCAATTCTAAAATTTTAAGGATCTGATTATTTAAATCCAGATCTTCTAAATGAAATCTAAGTCTTTGCTTATGCTAAACTCGCCACAATACAGAGACGTGGTTATTCAGTTATTCTGAATGCTTTAGCTTCTTTCATTGTGAATACTAATTTGTTGTGGCTCTTATCAAAAGATTGCATTCTACACTGTAAAAAATATTCCGTAAAATTTATGGTAAAAAAACGGCAGCTGTCGTTGCCGGAATTTTATCGTAAAAAATACGATAGCAACATTTTAGGTTTTATGGTTTTAACTTAAATTTACAGTTAAAAACCATAATTTAATTAAATGATATAATGTTAAAATACCAACCTATTGAAGTAGGTTATGGATTCATAATATTCAGATTGTGTAAATTCAACATATGTCAAACTACACTGCCTGGCCAAAAAAAGTCGCCATTTGGATTTAATTAAGCAACTAGTGAAGAGTCTAGGATTGGATAATTATTGCAGTGATTAATATGTTTCTGGCATTCTTAACCCTAACTGATGCAGTGCGTAGCTTTTTATTTCTTAAGTAACCATGTTGAAAGACGTATCCATGTCCATACTCCAGGATGACAATGTCAAGATTCATTGGGCCCAAATTGTGAAACAATGGTTTAAGGAGCGTGAGAAGTCCTGAGCTTAACCTGTTTGAAAGTTGTTTTTTTGATAGGACTCTCCTGTTGTCAATACTAGATCTCTGCCAAAAACTCATGCCAACTCTTGATGGAAATAAAAGTTGTAATTTTGCATAAGTTTGTCAAAACAATGCAATGAAAGCACAACGTTATCAAATCTAAAGGCGCTCCAACAAAATATTAAGAGTGTGCAACATTTTTTTTTTTGGATAGGCAGTATAAAGTAAACTCCAGCACATTCCAAGACTTTCAATAGGGTTAAGGTCAGGACTCTGTGATGGCCACAGTTTGAGCCTGATGAATCTTGGCATTGTCATCCTGGAATATGGACACGGGTACCTCTTTCAGCATGGTTGTTTAAGAAATGAAAAGCTACACACTGCATCAGTTAGGGTTAAAAGAATTGTTGCAAAACATGCTGGAAACATATTAATCACTGCAATAATGATTCAATTCTAAAATTTTATATATGGATCTGATTATTTAAATCCAGATCTTCTAAATGAAATCTAAGTCTTTGCTTATGCTAAACTCGCCACAATACAGAGACGTGGTTATTCAGTTATTCTGAATGCTTTAGCTTCTTTCATTGTGAATACTAATTTGTTGTGGCTCTTATCAAAAGATTGCATTCTACACTGTAAAAAATATTCCGTAAAATTTATGGTAAAAAAACGGCAGCTGTCGTTGCCGGAATTTTATCGTAAAAAATACGATAGCAACATTTTAGGTTTTATGGTTTTAACTTAAATTTACAGTTAAAAACCATAATTTAATTAAATGATATAATGTTAAAATACCAACCTATTGAAGTACTGAAATCTGTTTTGTACCTTTGTAATACACTGATAACCACCAAATGCAGGAGGTGATGAGAAAGTCACATGATGAACCAAAGCCCATCACAAGCAGCTTTTAAATAATAACATATATAGAAGGTGCACAGTGTCATTCACACAAACACTAAACACCATCATGGTAACACACATGAAACTGAAATAATGCAATAAACATTCATTTAACAACATTAGGTATAACATACAACCCTGATGTACAAAACTGATAAGAAAAAACTAAGAAACATAGTTATTTCAACAAAAAAACATCAAATTTGAAATGTAATGCAGGGAATTCTGGGAATGTCAATTTACGGTTATTCACTGTAAATTATACAGGCTTTTTCACTTCCAAAAACGGTATACTACCATAAAATTACATGTAATGTCCAATACAATTTTTCACCGTATATAGTAGGGGAATTTACCGTTAACCCTTTAACAGGTTTTTACTGTAGCATTTTTACAGTCTTTTACCGTTAAATTCACGGTAACTTTTTACAGTGTAGTCTGCTTTTATGGATTACCAATTAAATACAAATGAACCCGCTTTTCTCAAAAGCCATATGACTTATAGTGTTAATGTAGCACAAACAATGAAGAACATGTCATGTGAACATTTAATACTTTGGGTTAAGTGTTTATTCAAATTCCTAATCCTAAGTGTGAGCAATATTGATGAATACTAATAAATACTTTGAGCTCTCCATAGAGCAATGATATTGAATTTTGCAGCTGGTGAGTTCAGTCCCTTGCAGTACAGTGTCTTTCTGTTTACTTGTCATTGGAGCACATTAGAAAAACCCATCCACACAAAAACAACTATGCAAAGAATTCTCAGCATGCATACTAGAGTTTTTCATCATGGTTTAAATTGCTCGTGACGATGCACATACTTGCTTGTCTTCATCTAAAATTAATTAACTTTATGTCCAGGATCAAGACAGTAAGCCAACTTAACTATCGTAAAATATTGGTTTTAAATTTTTTGGCAACGTTTTTATTTCTGCAGGATCGACAGCATCTCTCACACTGCGAGGCCACCAGGACTATCCATTCAAGGCAGACTGTTTTCCCCTGGAGACATGCTTTAGATAAATCTCAGGAAAGACACATGCTATGCTGTGAAGATCGTTCACATTCTACTCAGTTCCTCCTGAACTGGTGATTCATACAAATCTTTGGATACGTTGGCATGTAAAATATTGCCTTTAAGCTCCATGCCTGAAGATAAAGTCCTAGATATTTACAGGTAAACAGTGATCTCATCCTGGAAATTGAGGTAGACTGACAGTCTGATTATGGAAAAGCCTCAGATGGCACACTGTTCATAGTCCTTTCAGTGACTGTCTGATGCATATTGAACACAAACCTGCAAAGCACACGCAAAAATGACAAGCTTCAGTCAGATTTTTTTCTACACAACCACCAGAAGTCACTGCATAACTCAAAAACAAAATTGTTTTAAAAGCTATTGTTTGCATATAGCGGCTGTGGACTTTAATTCTCAATTATTTGTCCACAAGTCTACAACATAGGGTGTCCCATTTGTCATTTTAGGTTTCAAAAGGGTGCCAAAATGACACTAAATTAGTTCTTTAAATTAATAGTTTTTGCAGTAAGAAAAGGCCTTATAACTATAAGCACTTTCAAAAAAGAACTGATCAGTTTGCCAGGTTAGTGCCATCAAATATGTTCGGTTTTATTTTCTGTCTGTTTAATGGATACTAATTAATTTTGGATGGGCATATATTTTAGCCAAAGCCTACATGCATTTTACGGTATTTTTAAAAAATGTATATATATTTTTTTACAGTTATAGAGAAGCCATAATTTGAATGTTTCCATTTCCAATCACTGTAATATGATCGATCACATTTATGGCATGTAAAAACAAAAACTGTTATTCATTATTCACAAGTTGGTCAAAAGATCTATGCTGGTTTTAGTGGGAAGACTAATTTGCAGACCAGACTTTCTGCTGAAAACCAAACATCTGTCAATGCAAGAAACACTAAAAAAAAACAACAAAAAAAACCATACCATTTTTTTGTCCCTCTCACACAATGAACAACACTCTTGAGAAAAAGATAAGAGCTTCACTTTATTTAAACACTAAAAATTGTTATAAGAATCTTAGAATATTGAAAAATACAATTTGCACTTTACAACTTTGACAACCATACAATTTTATCAAACTGCTAAAGCATTACCAACATCACAATGAAAAAAATAACATGTATCAGCGATTTCTCCTCTCTTTTGATTTCTCAAATCTGAAACGAAACTTCAGAACTTGTTGACAGTCTTTATATTCATATCTATGCACCTTTTCAGTCAGTCCAGGGTACCTACACAAGAGTGATACAGAAAGCAAATAGTTGAATTTAAAGACATGACCTTGAAAGTTTGATTCAATTCCCCTTCATAGGTTGCATGTCACATTATACTTTTGGGTCTAAACCGTAGCATCAGCAGCCAAAGTAACACTGTTGCAACTGTTTATCATTGTAACTAATAATTTAGGACAAGATCTTTCAGCAATTTAGGACAGATTGCATTCATGCTGTGAATCATCAACTGTACTCGGACCACCTTTGTGAGCCGATTCACTGCAGGTTACTGGTGGACTTTCACAAAAAACAAGTGAACCGAACTCTAGACAACAAATCAGAATATCTTTATCGAAACAGCCATGTTATTACCAACTGCCTTTGTTTCTGAATTCCTAGAATCAAAGATCTTCGTGGTCACACATAATCTGCCATCATGGCAGAATATTGTTTGGTTTTAGGTTTACCATTCTTGGAAAATGAGGTTTGAAGGAAGGAAAGAAATATAGGCAATCAAAATGATCCATAAAACACTTTCCCACTCCTTTAGACCTTTGCCAGCAGGAAATAACATTAAATTGCGACTCCCTTACCTTCCAAAAACGCAAATTCATCTATTGCTTCAATAGCATTGTCTGCCAAAAGAGAAAAAGCACCAATCATTACAGCATCAATAAAATAGCACTTGTTTTTTGTTAAAATTCTATTTAATCCATTTTAGAATTGAACTTATAACTTACCCAAGTCTTTGCGCTGCAGAGTTTTTCTCTTTCCCTGTTGTGCATAAACAAGAGCGTCCTTGGCGATCATTTCAACAAAAAGCTCCTGCAGGCAGACAAATAATTAGTACCATTTTATTAACTGAGATACAACTGTCTTTACCCACCCGAGTGTATAGGAGGGGCCATCCATTTTTGTCCTTGGCCCTGTGAATTCAAGTAACGGCCCCATCAAGGTTTTCATATCAACAAATCTAGCCTAGTTTGAACTGCAATTCAGAATATCCAGACAGACAACCACTGCATCCATGCATGCGGCAAACTAGTATCAAAATGTTTTAATACCTCCTCTCTTATAGATGTTATCAGCTGCTGCGTCATAGCAGCAGTCATATTTTTCTGGCACTGTGAGAACTTCATTTGAATTTTCATTGCCAAGGCAATTACAGTAATTAGCGGTCAATGAGCATCTCACACTTTATAGAGAACTTATGGTCCTCGGATTTGAGTGCTTAGTTATTCATATTTAGTCATATTACATTTGCGATAAAATAAAGATTTTACAACCACAAACTCAGACAAACAAAACCATGAATACATAGACCTAAAGATCTAAAACTGACAGGCAAAAGGAGAAAGAAATAGAAAATCTTACATTCATTGATTTTGCACCTGAAAACATAACAGTTTCTGTGATCCATTCTATACTGTTGTTGCAAAACCTGTTGGTTTGTCATCAAGATCATGTTATCTAGCTGGCTAACATACAAATGGTTTGATTGAAATTGCTAAAATGACATCAATAAAAAAAAAGTGCAAGCCAATAACCTACCAATCAGTAATGTTTTCTAGCAAGCATTTATAAATGGAGTTATATTATGCCTGTTAAATTTCCAGCCTTTTTTTTTTGTAAATACAATATTTAATTGTATGCAGAAAATGTTTTTGTACATTTTGTATTTCAGAAAAAGCTATCACATTATTATTATTATTATTATGTTAACAGAAAACAAATATAAACAAGAGACAGAGTGTAGGCAGAGAGAAAGAAATAGAAGTAAAATTGTATATTTGACATAAGGAGACAAGCAGAACTTAAGTTAGAAAGACGAAGAGACAGAGGAAGGGAGGGAAAAGAGGTGTATCTCACCGTGGCTTTAGCTATGATGAACACGGACTCTTGACTGGCCAGACTCACGTCCGGATCGGCTTTCATCAGAGTTTTAATGCGGGACAGCGGTAACTTGGCGAGGCGGTGCTGCTGCTGCTGCTGTGCGCCCGCGGTGGGCCCAGCTTGCCCATTCCCCCCGTCCTCCTCCGGCTCGGCGCTTCGGGGCTCGTCCTCAGCTCCGCTGCGGTCCACCTCCGGCTCCGCAGGAGCTGCAGGAGCAGTCGCCGCCATTGACGCACGCGGCTCTTAACAGAACGTAATCTAAACCGAAAGCGGATCGTCTAATCTTCTCCCGCCAAATCTGACTGTAAACACAACCTCGAGGCGGACGGCGGAACAGACGTCACAGCGCCACGTCATTTTAGCGGGTCAACTCATTCTGTCCAGTATAGGTCAGTTAAAGTCCATTAAACAGCGCCATTGACTTCCAGGAAGGATGATTTTTAAATGATCTCAGATGACATGTTGTTTCCTCAGTTCAGAGAGAGTGATTGGTGATAACAACAGAATACTGACTGCATACACGGGGGAAAAAAGAATTTTGATTTGAGGGACTTTCTGAATCAAAGTAAATATTGGAGTAAATAATCGGAATAATGTTTAAAGCCTATTTTAAATCTAAAACCATTCCTGTGCGTTCACACTTGTGGTTCGGTTCTCTTGGTTCGTGTGGTCCGGACCAAAAAAGACAACTATACATTTGGTTCTGGTCCGCTGAGCGTTCACACTGGCATTTTTGACAGCGAACCTAAAGATACCGAACCTAAAGGCACGGTGATACGTTCACAACCTGATTGGTCGGGTTGAATGACGTATATTTTGCGACGGAACTCACAGAGTACCCCCCAAAAAAGCTGTGTTCGACTTAAAGCGGTGCTGCGCAGACCGATGTATGACATCAAAGTACCCATTCAGAGATCCGTCTGCTCAGCTCCGCTTTAAGTCGAACACACATAATGCCGTCTGCTGGACTAAGCGCGCTCATTGCTGCGTGTACTTATGATTTTATTTTCACCACCTGCGAACTCACGAAGAGCTCATAAAAGCCACTTTACCTCCTCGTTGCTCCACGTTTGCCCTCTGCTCATTTTGTTTTAGATGGTACGGCTCGTTCCGCGTCGTTAAATCATGTCGCATATCGTCGCATCTTGTCATTACTTCCTGTTTTTTGTTCGTTTAGAAGTGTTTGGTCTGTGATGCGTTCATATTTCATTCGAACTGCACCAGAGTTGGTTTGGAAGCGGACCGAGAACCATCTTTTTAGCTGTCTTGGTCCGCTTGTTTGGTGCGCACCAGGGTTCGGATGGCAGCGTTCACACTCACTCAAATGAACCGCACAAACAGAGCAATCGCACCAGGGTTCATTTTAATCAAACCAAACATGACAAGTGTGAACACACCCTTAATCTCATGCCTCATTATACCTCAGAATTAATTTTCATTGTTTTGTCATCACATAGTACCATGGTACCATGAAAGACTACTGTAGTATTCTTTGAATAATTAGCTTTTGATGAATATAGCTGTTCTGCATGGCCGGACTTACCATTGTTCTTGACTGGGCTGCAGCCCATGGGCTCCGGTTTGTAGGGGGCCCTGCCTTTGCCCGTTTACGTTTTGTTTGGTTTGTTCAGTTATGCCAGTCAGAAATTATTAGCCGCATTTTTACTGCGCACACAAGGGCTAAAGGGGCCAGCCTCCAACTACGACCTTCGAAGCCATAATCAAACAGCATCAACTGGGTATTTATTGTAATATTTATATAAACTGGGTGTTTATTGTATTATAATGACTACTTAATATTACATCTAAACTTTGACTAGGCTTGACATGTTGCATATTAATTGTGTATGTGAGCCTCAAAACATATTTTAATTTCTGTGTATTTTTATGTTACTCTATAATGATGTTCTAATTGAGGGCATTTGTAGTGTATAGATATATAGCCCGAACATAACCTCCTGCCCTGCTATTCAGTATGGTAAATAGTAGACAGGGGCTAGTTGTCACACTTTTTAAAATTGTTTTATTTATTCCAGTGAAGGTTTAATTTTTGGCTACAAAACAGCTATTAACCCTAGAATGCATAAACCAAAAAAACTAAATTAAAGGGGTCATATGAAGTTGCTAAAAAGAACATTATTTTGTGTATATGGTGTAATGAAATGTGTTTATGCGGTTTAAAGTAAAAAAAAAACACATTATTTTCCACATACTGTACATTATTGTTTCTCCTCTATGCCCCGCCTTTCTGAAACGCGTAGATTTTTACAAAGCTCATGGGTCTGAAAAGTGAGGTGTGCTCTGATTGGCCAGCTATCCAGTGCGTTGTGATTGGCCGAATACCTCACGCGTGTGACGGAAATGTTACGCCCCTCACCATACTGTGATGCCCTGTCCGGCC